TCAAATATTCGAGAATGTCAATTTCAAATGGAATTATTTTAATTCGGATGGCAATATATTTGTACACGTTCCATTATATCAGGTGTATTTCGTATAGCGTCACATCCAGCAATGATCCGTTGACCAAGTTGATCTTCACTGTCTTTTGGCACCGTATGAACTAAGGCCTTCAAGTGACCTCACCAAAAAAAAATCGATTGCATTCAAATCCGGGGACCTCGGGAGGCCAGAACTAATTTGGAACTTCAGCTTCTCGGCCAATCCATCTGTAGGAGAATATTGAATGAAAGAAGAAAAATGCACTGGCGTATCTTTTCTGATATCAACTTCTTAGAGGCGACTTACGAGCCCCATGGAAATAATTCAAATGCATCGATTATTCCAAATCCCAATAACTCGAAAACAGTTGCTCGCAGCGACCTCTACCAGGAATATATTTTTCTACTATAAAATGTGATACAGGTACGCACAAGAAAGTTATGACTTTTCAAAAGACCCAGAAGACATGTAGGTGGCGCCATCCCCACGAAAGAGACAAACTAACATAAAATTTGATATTGTCATTGAAAAATATCCCTAGAAACCAAACTTTATTCGAATATCACAATTATTTTGAAATTTATCAACAAAAACAAAAATAAGAATTCAACTTCGACACTGTATCGCAGCATCAGAAACGAATAACTTTCGGACATATATTTATACGAACTTTTCTTCTTATTTTGACGTCAGCAACATGCTTCTGAATTTTCTACACGTACTTAAGAAACATCCTGTATATACATAATAATATTAATAATAATTATTTTATAAGTTTGCTACAACCGTGTCTGAAATATAGTTTTGACTTCAAAATTGCTTTGAACTAAACTGAACACTTGCCAGGAAAAACAATAAAACTTTCATTAACTTTCTGAACTATATAACAAAATATTTCAACAGTAGGGGAGATCGGTGTCAATTGTAACAAAATCTGGTTTTAATTTTATGAGGAGTGTAATCTACAATGGAATGACCAGAAAAAAATTGAGTGTATGATCAGATGTCTGGGGATGAGAATGGCTCATACAAATTTGGTTAAAAAACTGTAATTGAAGCAAAAAATAATTGTTTCTGACCTGAAACACCATGGTACTATCGACACCGTAAAGGTGTCGAATGTAACACGTGCTGTGTCAATTGTAACAACCATTATGTTGGTTGATAGTAATACAATTTCAACAAACTTAAAATGTATTTTCAATCAAAATAAGAAGTCAGAGATGGCAAAATATTGAAGAACATGTAAAGGTAACATATATTTATATTTTCTAAAATCGAGGAATCAGTCAGATTCACAATTCTTGCAAATGAACAGCGGATCATTATTGGCACAAGAAGAGTGAGCCCACTCTTTGCACAGCCTACATTGCAGCCAATCTTCTCTGCTCTTGGTATAAGGGCCACAACATACGAGACAAATGGACTCATCATCATCATCAGTCGAACAATCTGATGATGATAGTTTTTCTTCAGAGAATTTAGTCTTCTTTGGTTTTATCTCAGGTTTTTTTGTCTTCTTAGACAAATTCATATTTTTCTTGACAGCAGAAATCATTTTTTTATTATATGCCTCTTCGATGATTAATTTTTCTGGTGTGTCAGTATATATTGCTGTCTTCCCTCTTTGTCTGCTACTGGTGGTTTTTGGTTTCTTTTATCACTCTCATTGCTGCCTGTTCATACTGTTCTTGGGGAATCTCTCCTCTGTGCGTTGATTTTGGTCTAGGTTTCACCATATTATTGATGTTCAATGTCCCCTGAAGAAGAATATACCTCTGTCTTGAATATATTCGAAAGAGGTGTCAATTGTAACACGTTACAATTGACACCTTCGGCTTTGTTACAATCGACACCACCAGACACTCATATTCATACCAATATGATTGACAGATTTAACCTCAAAATTATCTTTCGAAATTACCTTGATTCATACATGCAAATATACTGTTTTCGACGTGATATACAAAAAATAAATCGAAATGAGAATAGGGAAGATATTAACTGATTATGAAAACATGAAATACTTACGTTTTGCACTGGAATCTGAATTATTTATTTAAAAAACACTGGACCTTGCAAAAACGAACAAGACACCTTTGCCGTTTGTGCCGACCGTTGACTACTGTCTGGGTGTAGTGAAATTTTGAACATATTTTGATAGATGGCGCTTTAATCTCCAATGTTACAATTGACACCTGTTACAATTGACACCGATCTCCCCTACTATAGACAAGAATCGCTTTATTACTCGTAATAATATTATTACATTAATATACTATGTCAAAAGTTACTTATTGAATACTGAAGATGTAAGCATTCTTGTTAATTTTTCGAGTCATTTGCAATCGAATTCTTTTATGCACAAGCATGAAGAATATACCTACCTAATTGGCCTCCAAACGGATTCAAAAATTTGTATCCACCTTTTATTGATACATATTTACTTGATACAGAACCCCCAATTTTTTTCGGACGCTTCGTGAACGTATATATTCTCATTTTTAACTCAAAACATTGTATTTTTTTTTTAAATTGAGTAACCATTTCTTTATTTTTTATATTTTTTTCACGTTGATCTTAAAAATATAAAATTTTCAAAGCATGGGCGCCGCCACTTGAGAGCAAGGGGGTGCCCCCCCCCCTGGAATTTAACATTTTGAGTCAAGACGCGATATTTGGTTGAAGAGTTGAAGAAGATTGTTTGATTTCTATTTTTGTTACCTATACATGCATATTGCTATATTTATTAAATAAGTAAGTGCTTATACCGAATACCGATACCAAATGCTGTATAGGCACTCAATCTGGATAACCCTGTGTACAGAATATATGGTGGCTCAACGAAAAATAACGACGAAACTGCGTGGCTAAAATTATAACAATCCCGATAAAAATTGTGATATTAGCTACCCCCAGTGTATTTATTCCATGCGAGTGTGTTGTTTTTATGGTATACTGATGTGTACTTATAAATACCGGGTGGCCCATCGACGATTACATCAAACAATTTCGGAAACGACTCCAAGTTTTCATTTTCAAATAGAAACCCTCTGTATTCCATTTCATAATCGGTTAAGGATTATGATAACGATTTCAATGATTCCTGGTTTGATAGGGTTATTTCAAACGATTACGAAGATTTTCGTGTTCAGAATTTCCATCTTCACCTATACTTAAACTACTTCATATCCTTCATATCCAAAGAATCATATAATTTCAATTTAGCGCAATGCTTTCAATTAAAATGAAAACGTTCTCCCTGTTTTTTTTTTCTGGCGGCGCTCATGATCCAAAGAAATAATAAAATCTGAAGATGTTGATTTTCACAGAGTTAGCATCATTAAATGTCCACTATTGGTAACTTTTTTATTTTTGTTAAAATCAGCGAACTATCAGTATTTTAAAAGCTTTTGGAGATGGAGAATGAAAAGAAATTGTGCATCGCATTTGGACGTACGGACGAGAAATACAATGTTTCTACATGAAAACTTCTAGGTATCAGATTTCTTCTGTTAAAACTAAACAAGTTTCAGATAAAAAAGCTTAGAAAGAATTTTCTCCTATAGTTAAAAATACTGATAGTTTAGAAATCTTAAATTACCTGAGATACCATATGCTGGATAACCCTGCATACAGAATATAGGGTGGCTCAACAAAAAATATCTACAGAACTGCGTGGCTAAAATTACAAGATACCATTCCTTGAAAACAAAAATATCGACCTGTTCACATGTTAGAAGTGTTCTCGATAAAAATTATGATATTTGCTACCCACATTGTATTATTACCTATTCCATGCCAAGTGTGTTGTTTATATCTTATACTGTGTACTTGTAAATACCAGGTGGCCCATCGAAGACGATCCACCAAAGTTTTCTCCGTTGTGTTGCAATGAATGAAAATTTGCTCGGACATGTCGATTTCAATTTGGCATCAGGGGAAACATTTTTCTGGATGTTTCAAATTCAACGGGCACCAACTTTCGATATTCAAATCGAACAGCCTATATTTCATTTCATTTTCAGATTCTCCCTGACGAGCTGATTTCATCGATGTGTCACACTTGGGGTCTAGCGGTAATAACTGCAGAGATATAGAGTGTTCAAAATCGAGATTTTTTCAATTTTAGATTTTTTTTGTGTCAAAACTATTTTGTCACTTCACCGACACGTTATATTATGGTCAAAATTCAATAAACACGAGCACAAATGACATGGACAAGGGTTACACTTGCTCTTAACTCGGCTGCCTGCCGAACACTGTATGAGCCAGTCTTCACACACGTCTGTCATAGGCTCTGATCTAAGCACATTCCACTGAGCAGTAGCGCATCTAGTTGCTAGATGCTAACACAGGCAAAACGGCTTACATGTCCTTATATTTACTCTCGATTTACCATCTTCGGCATCTTCTGACATTTAATTGGAATAGATACAGGGTGATCAGAATTCTGAATCTTGAACCACTCTGTATTTGTTCTAATTAAATGTCAGTAGATAGTCATTCAAAAGTTAGGATGGGGACATGAATGTCGTTTTGACCGATAATGAAAAGTTTCGACATAAAAACAATCCTGAAGTTGAAAAATCTCGATTTTGAACACCCTATATCTCTGTAATCATTCCCGCTAGACCCCAAGTGTGACACATTGATGAAATGATCTCTTCAGGGAGAATCTAAAAATGCAATGAAATACAGGGTGTTCCATTTGAAAATCTAAAGTTGATGCCCGTTACGCTTCAAGGTTTCAACTTTGGAATATGATAATTGCAGAAAAATGTATCCCCTGCCAAATTGAAATCGACTCGTCCGAGCGGTTTTTCATTAATTGCAATACAACGGAGAAAACTTGGGTGGATCGTCTCCGATGGGCCACCCGGTATATTTATTTCATGTGGAAGAAAACACGAATATGTAATTATACCATTGCCTTATCTTATCTTGGCCATAGCTATTTAAGAATATGAATATACTGTTGTTCAGTCTATATAAGTGAATATAACAGTATATTCAAATTTTTTCGAAATCAAAAGCAGTTATGTAAAGAAATAAATGCACTTTTCGACAAAGAACAATAATTATTCTCAAAATGTTGTTCAACGATTGTCTTCACAGGTGAGTTCAACAAGTCCTGGTTTTGCCCGTATTATCTGTTATTGCTCGACATTTTTTCAATGTAGTAATATTTATAAATCTAAAGAAACAGTTGATAAGCAGGTGATGCTATAATACAAAGCTGGCGTATGTTTCAAAATTAGTTGATAATTTTAATATATACAGGGTGTCATTGAAATGGTATTTCTACCAAATGGGGTTGTACAAACTAGTCCAATAATTTATGTTACATACCTATTTTATATTGATCATTCCGAATATAAATCGTATTTTTTTATGCATTCATTCATTCATTGATATCATCACTGATATATTTTTTCAATAATTAAAACGCCAACTATCGATGACGTCATGAACCTTCTCGCAACAATAGTGATATTTATTATTCCTCAACAACCAATGACAGCATAATCATATATTTGGATGCTTCCAAATTCAAAACTAATAATTACCTCATGATTTTCAATATGACCAATGACAAAAGTTTTCACATTCACAGAAGACAATGGTTCCACCTGATTCCTAATAATCACTTATTGAATACTTATATATCATGCAAGAGGCTTAACAGTACCAATAACAAAATCCTATTATTCCTAATAATGATCGAGATTTTATTTAAACCCAAACTATTTTGTCACCCTGGCAACAGCGTAATGCTTAAAGTCCACATAAATATCAAGAAAAGAAGAAGAACTCTAACCTAACTTTCTAACGTCATCCTCGTCTGTCACCTTCATATTCAAAACATATATCATCTATAGTCAAATCTAACATATGTATAGTGCGAATGTTAGAGATAATCCTCGGATTATCTGATCCTCCAGTTGTGTGTTGTGTTTCCTATTATCTGCAGTAATTATTCAGTGAAAATTTATTTCATACTTTGATAAGAATGATAATGAGAAATATTCTTCCACTTGTCTTACAGAAATAGATAATGGGATTTTTCACGGGTGATTTCACGCATTTTCCCGCGTTTTTCATCAAGTGTCAAGTAAGAGTAGTTCACTTGAGACACCCATCGATATTAGCTTTGAGTATAATCAATGATATGTTGGGTACTTGTAAACCATTAACGGCATCACTGTGAGGAAATTCGAGAATTATGTGTCTGTGTGTTTTATGAATCCTATGGACCCAATGATTTTTGTGTCGATATTATAATGTACAAAGTGAATTGTTTCTAATATCTGATTGTAGGATATTCGTCGTCCAAATAACCCCTTGGTTGGGCACAAGTTTTTCGAACAATGAGAAAATCATTCATATTTAAATATATGGCAGAAATCCTTTCCTTTCCTGGCTAATACCACAGAATATTATTGAATTATATCTGACAAATATTATAAATAACCTGCATATGAAAAATAAAATAAAAATGTGCAATAACTATATTGTTAGAATATATTGCGGAAAGAATCACCTAATTTTTGTTTTAATCTCAAAAACAAACAACCTGAGCATTGTTGAACCCAAATACTCGAAAGTTTGAATAATATGTGACTGAAATGCCAATAAATTACAATCAGAATACAATTGATCGTTTTCTTCTGGTTGTAATATATTTTGTTAATTAATCTCTAAATTCTAATAGATCTCTGAGTAGGTATAGTTTTCTTTAATAATTGATTAAAAGTAATATTTCAGTTTAATAGTAAACTCAACCTAGTTAATGAGTTTCATCTTTGATTAGATATATAGATACACTTTTAGTTTTTAACTTCTTGTTGTTTTGTTATAAAAGAACCGTTATATTATTGTTTGATATTAGAAGAAAAGACAGGAGACTGGTTGTTTATTTAATTTCTCATTTGATTAGATACGTCAAAGATTACTCACTACCTAAAAGTTTAATAAAAAAAATGATATATACGTGAAACAATATTAATTACATTGAAGTTTATTGAAAAAATTCGTAAAAATAAATGTTTATGTCATAATACCTATAACTCTCATTATTTTATTCCTAATTTATTCAAATATTGTCATTATTTACAAGAAAACAAAACACACAAAACCTCGATGCCCTCTAGAAGTAGTTCGAATTCCACTATGAGCTGTAGGTCCCGCTCTTCCTAACCCGGCACAAGTTTCGACTTCTGGCGAGTTGGTTCCCAACTTTGACGTATCGATTTACAAATTTCACAAAATTTTTAAAAACTGACAATCTCGCGAGATCTCGAAAGTAGCGATATCTCGTGGTATTGATATTCATAAACTCGCGAGATCTCGCCTGAACCCCAGCAATCTCGCGAGATTGCATTACCTATAGTGCCCCTAAGGTGAAACCTTAGCCGTGGCACTTGATATCTCCAAAGCATTCGATCGAGTCTGGCACCACGGACTCCTCGCCAAGCTTCCATCTTATGGCTTGCTTCCACAGCTATGTTCTCTGCTAGCTAGTTTTCTCTCAAGCAGGTCTCTCCATGTATTGGTAGACGGAGTTTCATCTGACTCTCTTACCATAAATGCTGGTGTTCCGCAAGGATCAATTCTAGCACCAACACTATTTCTACTCCATATCAACGATTTGTTGGAAGCCAAACTCCATGTCCATTACACAGCTTCGCGGATGATAGTACCCTCCATACCGCCTTCTCTTCCAGGGCCCCAATACCAGCCAGGCAAATCAGAAACGAACTAGGGAGAAATGTTGACAACATTAATATGGACTTGGCATCAATTCTCGAATGGGGATCCAATAACTTGGTAGATTTCAATGCAAACAAAACACAAGCATGCCTTTTCTCTAGAAAAGTCGATCTCACTGTGCCAAACATAAGCATGTCAGACATCCATTTCGATGCTTGGTATTACTATCAGCAATATCAACCTTTCTTGGGAAAATCACGTGAGATCAATTGCGAAAAGTGCATCCCAAAAACTTGTTTTTCTGTTATGGGCCAGGAGCTATTTCACTTCCAGTCAGCTGCTTATGATCTATAAGGCACATATTCGACCAGTCCTAGAATACTGTTCACATATTTGGAGTGCAGCACCCAAACATACCCTGAAACTGTTGGATTCTGTCTAAAAAAGGGCAAGTCGTCTCGTGGGTGATGCCTCGCTCACAAACTCACTCACTCAGGTGTTCCCCGAGGCATATAACCTCCAGAAATTCAAGAAGAACACCAATTCCTACCTTATTTACCTTGGTTCTCACGATGTTTTCTGAACATTACAGAATATCCCTTTTCGTGGGACCCAGAACATAAAAAAATATTTATACTATATCAATTTTGTACTCGTGAAGCGTCGACTCGAATTTTTCAGTGTAAAAAAGTCCCATAGGATTGGTGTTTTGAACCGCTCCGGTCCTGCTCAGCCTACCTCAACCGCCAGTTTAACTACCTATACCACCCTATCACTGATACTAGACTAGAGAAAACGGAATCGTCATTATCCACAACACGTCGTGCCGTCTGTCCTTTTCAAGGCATCCTCTGACCCCATTTCAACACTATTGGGATTGCCCTGCCCTCTTGTTGGCATGATTCAAGCAAAACGCCGAAACGACCTTCAGGTGACACTGTCGCGGATCTTTTATCGTGGATCGTTGTGTTTATTCAGTCATATCTCATTTTTATTCCCACTTGGCACTAGCTTGTGTAGGTAAATATAGTTAGAAGTTTATTTAATGATTTATTTATTTATTTATTTATTTATTTATTTATTTATTTATTTATTTATTTATTTATTTATTTATTTATTCATTTATTTATTTATTTATTTATTTATTTATTTATTTATTTATTTATTTATTTATTTATTCATTTATTTATTTATTTATTTATTTATTTATTTATCTATTTGTTCATTTTATGAAGCCCCCTCTTTTCGGTGCGAGTTGTATTGAGCGAAAGACGTTGAAACTTACAAAATATGCCAATTTTCGAGCCAACATCTTTGTTTTCGAGTATGGAACGCTCAGTATCAATTTTTATTCCAAACTTCACTAGATCACTACTTTATTTATTAGAAACAAACAGGTATTACATGTTTCTTTCAAAACTAGCCTATGTTGAAAGAAAATATACGTATCCCAATCCCATGTTTTTGAATAACAATATATATCATACCGGCTTCGAGATACAATTTTGAAAAGTTAATGTATCTACATCGGATTTCGCATTTCCTAATACCTCTTCGTTCAGTCAGTAAAAATCTGATTGTATATAATGTAATTTTAAATTTTGGCAAATATTCAAGATGAAAGGAATTATTCGGATAATCTCCAATGAAGCCCAATGTCCAATGCTTCATTGACACTAGTCTTTGGGCATTGTACGTACTAAAAGTTAGTCCCGTGTATATTTTACAATGTAGATAAAATATCATTATTATTGTAGATACCCAGATTGAGTTATGAAATTGTAAAACGGTATCCTATTAGATACCACTCGAGATACCATAATAAGTATAGCGATGATCTGAACATAACCTTATTATTCTAGATGGAACACCCTGATAGCTACCTAATTTTTTGTATAGCCTCGCCTGCCTGATAAAAATTGAATAACAGAATGCGAAAGGTCATGGATTCGTTGATGAATGGCTACCAAACTGCCCCGATTTGAATCCGTTAGAATAAACAGAAACAATACATTATTTAAAAATAAAACCTCATTTATGCTGTGAGAGTGGAATCTTCAATTAAAATGTATAGACTAGATTGATACTTAGGTGCTTCTAACTTCTATACTGCAATTCATTTGATCCATTTTGTTTACCCTGGAATTGTCGTTTGGTCCATGTCTTAACTATAAGACTTGATAAGTATTGGCTTAACATTATGTTTTCCATGTATCTGGAAGCACTTGATTTTTCTTATGCTAGAGTTGAAAACCTAGTCTTGATGTTTGTGTACTTTTGTTACCTCCTCTTCCTAGCAAATCCTACGTATGCTAAGGCCATTGCCCAACGGTTGAAATGGAAAGGAAACTGGAAACCATCGCTTTTATCTGGTACATAGATGGATCATAAACAATAAATATCAC